TCCCTTTAACATGCAATATGGTGATCAATAAATATAATAAATAAACATTAATATTGAAAGCAATTTAACAATAAATCCAACAATATAAAATCGATAGAAAAATAACAGAAATAAAAGGAACATAATTCTTACTTTGATTCTGTTTGCTTGCAACTATAAAATAATAAACACGATAGTAAATTCATGGAAAAATAATAACTAAATTAAATAGAGTTGATTTGGGACCAAACTCTCAAACAGTTCTACCTTTTACGCCTTGGCTTAAGTACAGAACCTCGGGTAAAGTATAGACTCCTTGGAGTGCTTGAAGAAGGAATTTTGAAAGAAGAAGGGTAGGCTAGTGTGTAGGCTAGAGCATATAAGAGAGAAAAAGAGAGTTAATTCATGCCCCGTACATCAAAAATGAGGGGGTATTTATAGGGAAAATGAGTAGAGGGAACACACGGAACCCTGAAAAGATAAAAACCCTAAAAAATAGCACCGCAACACGGTGCCAGGCACCGTCAGACGGGGCAAACTCCCGTGACACGGGGAAAAACAGAGTGGCGCGGGAAATAATTAGGTTATGGGAGATAAAACGCGTAAAGGGTTTACACAGAAAAGACACGGAGTTGCCCCCTGGAACCGTGTCATGGGAATGCACACCGTGGCGGGGCTTTGAGCCCCGTGACGTGGTGCTTATTGCCGTGACACAAGAAACTGTGCGTCCATTTTTCCGTCTAAATTCATTTCTACCGTAATTTCGCTCAGCCTTTTTAAGTGCTAATTGATAATTTTGGGCCATTTCTGATTTAATATTTATTAATTGGGCCAAAATAATAAAAATAAATAAAATAAAAAGGTTTGGGCCAAAATAATAAATAAAACAAAAAAGGTTTGGGCTAAAATTAAAAATAAATTATGCTTTGACTAAACATCAAGACTGATCCATGGATTATTAAAAACTGATTTTAATTAAATATAATTTTTTAAGGACTTTCGGGATTAAATACTAAACCCGACCAATAATGGCGATGAAATATTTTTCATCATCGGGTTTGGTTTCGGGGAGACATTTTTAGGTGTCTACAGTAGTAGTAGTAGTAGTAGTAGTAGTAGTAGTAGTAGTAGTAGTAGTAGTAGTAGTAGTAGTAGCAGTAGTAGTAGTAGTAGTAGTAGTAGTAGTAGTAGTAGTAGTAGTAGCAGTAGCAGTAGCAGTAGCAGTAGCAGTAGCAGTAGCAGTAGCAGTAGCAGTAGCAGTAGCAGTAGCAGTAGCAGTAGCAGTAGCAGTAGCAGCAGTAGCAGTAGCAGCAGCAGTAGCAGCAGCAGTAGCAGCAGTAGTAGCAGCAGTAGGTAGCAGGAGCAGCAGCAGTAGCAGCAGCAGTAGCAGCAGTAGGTAGCAGTAGCAGCAGTAGGTAGCAGGAGCAGCAGCAGCAGCAGTAGCAGTATGCTCTGCTCTGCTAGGCTCGGCTCGGCTATGCTTTGCTATCCTAAAATCTACTCTGCTCTGCTAACCCCTGCTCTGCTCTTCCTAGAAGCTCAAAAGAACAGGGCCTGAGTGTGATTCATCATTAATAGATCAGATAAATAAGCAGCAAGAAAAATTATGTGAAATATTATATTCAACAAATCCTTTAAAACATTGGGAAAAAGATAAGGCATGTGCTAAGATAACTCTAACAAATTCTAATAAGATTATTAGAGTAAGATAAATGGTCTATACCTACCAAGATATACAGGAATTTGATGAACAAATAAAAGAATTGTTGAATTAAAAGCTAATTAGGAATAGCAAGAGTCCTCATAATAGTCCAGCATTCATGGTAAGAAATCATGCAAAAGAAAAAAGAGGTAAAGCTAGAATGGTCATTAATTATAAGCAGCTAAATGACAATACTATTTTTAATGGCTATTATATTCCTAATAAAACTGTGTTATTTAATAGAATACAAGGAGCCACATGGTTTTCTAAGATGGATTGTAAGAGTAATTATTGGAAAATAAAAATGGAAGAAGAGAGTATTCCATTAACTGTATTTAGTGTCCCTCAAGGGCATTATTAATGGTTAGTAATGCCTTTTGGATTAAAAAATGCTCAACAAATATTTCAGAGAAGAATGGATAATATTTTTAGAGAACTTAATCATTGTTTTTGGTCTATATAGATGATATCCTAATATTCTCAAAAGATTTAGAACAACATAAGAATGATCTTAAAGCAGTAACTCAAAAATGTGCAGAGCATAGTATAATCCTTGGAAAGGATAAAGTGTTTATGCTAAACAAGAAATTGAGTTTCTAGGATTAGAAATTAAAGCAGGACAAATAATATTGCAAAAGTATATTTTGGAAAAATTAAAAAATTCCCAGATAAAATTGAAGATAGAAAACAACTAGAAAGATTTCTAGGATGTTTAACCTATATATGCTTCTGATTTCATAAAAAATCTTGTTTTATTAAGAAAACCATTACAGCAAAAACTCAAGAAAGAAATAACTTGGAACTGGAAGGAAAGTGATTCCAAAATTGTTAAAGATTTAAAAGCTATGTGTAAAGATCTTTCTATATTAACATTACCTACTAGTGAAGATGATTTAATCCTTAATTAAAACAGATGCTAGTAATGAGCACTGGAATGCTGTGTTAAAAATCAAAGAAGGAGAAAGACTTTGCAGATATAGCAGTGGAAGTTTTAATAAAGCTGAGTTAAATTATCCTACGATGCAAAAGGAAATCCTTGCAGTTATTTGAGAGATAGAGAAGTTCTTAATCTTCTTAGCCCCTAAACAGTTCTTAAATAGAACATATTGCAAAGGCATACTCGATTTTATTAAAAAAGAATTTGTCTAATATGCAAGCGCAAGGGAGACTCCTGCGTTGGCAATTATGGCTTAATCAATTATCTTTTACTGTTAAACATATATAGGGATCAAAGAATTCTTTAGCCGATAGTCTAATCAGAGAATTGACTAATGGAGAAGAAGCACAAGACATCAGAAAAAACCTTCTGCCCATCAACTAATAAAGATGGAGGCAGAGAGAAAAACTCTTATTGAAGAAACTGATGAAGCTATGGAGCGGGTTTCACCCTCCACTTGGGCCTTGATGGAGACCATGATTGTTTCATCAAAAAGAAGATCTCAAAATGGTTTAATTAAAATTTGTCATGTAGCAGTTCGAAGATTCCTATGTACAAAGTGATGGTCATTATCTTGAGACTCACTCCTGATATTCATGATATAATACTAAATAAAATAAAAAATAACAATTTTAGGTTCTGGTATGATCTAGTTGTATCAAGGTCATACAAGATGTATGATGTCTATGATATATGGGGAAGTAGAATAATATTCAACATCAATTCAAGAGTTGATACTGTGTCAATTCATCCACATTCACTGGAATGGATGGCACCATATGTAGTGGAGCACTACAGAGTTTATGATTATGGGATGGTTCATAGTATTGTACCATTTCCTGATATTAATACTACGTTCTTTGAGAAACTCACGAAATTCCAAAAGTATTTTTTAAGAGAATTTATGAAGCAACAAGATATAAAGGAAGAGTTGAGCAAGTCCAAGTGCAACGTGCAAACATTGAAATGGTTGAAGGAAAAATTAACTCTCCACATTTCCTGATTATGTTTGAAGACGTTCATCGCAAATTCAAAGATCCAATCTGTATCTAGCAGAGGCGAGTAAAAGATCCTACGGAGGCAAGAGCTTATGGATTTTTCTATATTGCTCAGTGTCTTAACCAGTTCATAGCGTTAAAAGAAGAACCACTAGTCATAATACATGTGGGAAATACTACTATAGTAGCACCATAATGGTTAAGAAATTATTTAGAAGAAGGAGTATTACATGGTGAATCAGTGTATGATTATCTCGAACAAGTTGAAGTTGGGAGATATTTATCCTTAGAGGGAAAAGGGCACTTATTGGAGATCTTTGTCACATGGGATGAATCCTATGCTGCTAAATGTGTGATGGATCTAGGTATAGAAGAAGACAACCAAATGTATGTCCATTATGAAGACAGTAAGGACAACAAATGTGGTCTACAAGATATGATGGAGTCCTGAGCCTATACCAACAATTATGTATTATGCTTTTACTATTGTAGCACGTTTTATTTGTTTAAAGAATCTTTAGAAAAGTAGTGAACAATATTCACTTGCTGAGTCATGATTTTCTGTAAGCCATAGAAAGTGTCGGTGACTTTTGTGAGCCTTCCCCTATATAAAAGGCATTAGGCAAAGAAGTGAAGGTAGAGTTGGAAGAGTTAGCAAGAGAATTGCTCTGAAATCATTAGGGAGTCTTCTAGAGAAAAATACTCAACTTAAGAGACATATTCGGTTCTTCATCTCTCTTAAAGTAGAGAAAACTCTAGTTCAGCTTATGTTTGTTTAAGCTTTTCAGTTTGTGTGTTTGTTGTAATATCTGAGTGTTGTAATCCTTTCAAATTAAATAAAAGTTTCGTTCAAGAAGGGAACATTATCCCCTTGAACCTTATATATCAAATGAGTTATCTTTCTGTTTAAGAAGTTCCATCATAAATACAGTAAGGATTGTTTAATTAGAGATTACGATCTAAGGTATGAAACGAATTAGATCTGTGCCGAGCCCGATCTAAGGAAGACATGGTTGGGGTTAACTACCTTGGTAAAGCCGGAAGCTCAGAACGTCGGAGGTTCCATTGTCGACTAAATTCAGGTATTGGTCAAAACTCTCTAATTAAAGAATTATTATTGCGAAGCATGGTGAGCTGTTAAATTATTATAATAATCCATTTCGATGTATAAGTAGTAGCGTAGTGATAACTAGTACCAATAAAAGTCATTTAAGTAATTATAAGATCGAATTATAGTAAAAATCTGTGTATTATTAAAACTGTTATTTTATAAGGTGTTGTTATTAATTTATCAAATACTGTTATTAATTCATTAAGTACTATTATTTACCCTAAATAAAATATATTATAAAAAAAAGCTGACTTTACTTGGTATTGGGCGAGGTGACCTATACCGGGTAGCGGTCCATCATTCGGTCATTGACATTCCCCTTCATTTGCCAAACCTTAAACCCGAGTCCAGTCCATTACCTTCCCCTTTCATCTTTCCCCCTCCCTGCTTCCTGCTTCCCCCGGTGCAGAATTCTTTTCTCGAAGTTCAAAAGGTTGATAGGAGCAATCACTTCCAAAACACAAATGGCGTCTTCAGCAGCCACCAGAGACTTACAGCGCGACCTAGAATCCAAAGCCAACGATCTTCGCAAACTCCAAAAAGGCAAACTCTTACTCTCTAATATTCTCGTATATTCATCTAATTTAATCTTAGTTTTCTCCTTAAATGTATTATTTTTCTGAAAAATCAGATATTGCTAAAAATCATGAAATCCGAAAGAAATACACCGTTCAGCTTGGCGAAAATGAGCTCGTTCTCAAGGTATTTTACTAGTATACTGATTTTATATGATATTTGTTGTGAATTTGGGTTTTATATATTAATTGGCTTGAAAAATTTGTTGATGAATTTGGTATAGGAGTTGGATTTGTTGAGTGAAGATGCGAATGTGTACAAATTGATAGGTCCAGTTTTAGTTAAGCAGGATTTGGCAGAAGCAAATGCTAATGTGCGCAAGAGGATTGAGTATATTTCTGCTGAATTGTATGTGCTCTTTTCTTTTATCATTGAAATTTTATGCTCTTTTCGGGTTTTTGTTCTATAATTATTGAGTTGATGTATAATAGAGTTGAATATAGAATGCTGTATTGCACTATTGCTAGTCGAGTTGTGCTTGCTGCATTCTTTGTGTTTTTCTTTTTTTGGTCATGCTCGATTACAAATTGGGTAATATGAAATGTCAATACGCGTGTGTTAACATCATAACTATCAATCTAGCTATGGTGGGAGTTGAGTCCTAATACTATAAAAATAAACAAATTTCTGAAATGGCTTTGCATGACATTTAACAGAAGCCTTGTTAATTTTTCTCTTTAAAGGAAACTTTTTGTTATTCATAAACATTCCAGTAAGTGTTTGATTGAAGAGTTTTATTTCGGAACCAAGATTGTGGATTCGTTCTCTTTGTAGTTTTCATTATGTTTTGCAAGAATAACCATGACTAGTGATTAAGGAATCAGTAGACTATATTTTTTTTAGATAACAAAGGTTATGCAAATGTCATTTGTGGCAAATTCAAAAGCACCACAGACATATTTGAGAAGGAGGGCGAATGAATCAATGAAAATGTATCAAAAGGCACGCCCAAGGCATGTCTAGGCGTTAGGCAATTAGGGTAGAGCGCCATTTTAGCTCTACGCAAGGTGCATTCAAAGAGGTGCCTGAGGCGCACATAGGCAAATCTCTTTAATTGTCTAATATTGCACACCTTGCTTCAAAGAGGTACACCAAGGCGCAACAGGACTTTCATCGCCTCATCTGCACCTTGAGCCTTTTTTTACATTGATATGCGGATGCTCCCTCAGTTCCTTTCATGTGCAAACCGTGCATGTTTATATGTTTCCCATCACCCCCTTTTATCCAATTTGCACGTGCTACATTTGATTTTATTTCTAATGTTGCTTGAATATTCTTCAACATTAAGAAAGTGTATGTCTATGGAGTATGGATTCCTCATAATTGATCCAATTGCTAATAATAATTCTTTCAAAGCAAACCAAAGATTTACAGTTCAAAAGGAAGATAAACAGAAGACTGATATAATTAACAAGAAGGATAAACTTAACCAATGCACATGTTAAAAATATGTTGATGCACCACATATGCTATAATGTTTAACCCACTGTAGTCTGAGAAAGGTAGGAGAAATTTTCCTATCGAATACTATATATATATATGTACTCTCTTATGTGGTGTTTATCTATTTCCATTTGTATTTCAGGAAACGTCTTGATGCTACCCTACAAGATATGGAAGACAAGCAAAATAGCAAGAAGGAGGGGGTATGTATTTTAATCAGTCGATTTTCTCTTTTTAATACATTTGAAAGTCTTATATCTTGTCATTGTAGTGCCTTATTATAGCAGGCTTGCAATCACCATAAACTTAAGGATTTATTGAAACCTCTGAGTAACATTTTGGAGGCTTAGAGTCTTAGACGTACTAGAAGCTTTAGCCTCCTATCCATTGATGATTGGGACATGCTCAATGTCTCAGTAGGATACATCATGGATGTACCCTGGTAGGATATAATGGAACTGGTTATAAGTGGGTAAGTTGAAAACAGGTATATTGCTAGAAGCTTAAAGGATGGGCAATGGGGTGTTCTCCTCACTTTGCTTAAAACAAATGGAGGAGAAACTTTTTGAGCATCATTCATAAGGGTTAGTATCTATCTGAGGATACTTTTTGACCCGTTACTTGTAACTGTTTCGGAGTATTTGCAAGTTCTTGTATATTAGTGACTATAGATGGAGGAACTATGGCAACTACCAGGGGATCAAATGAATTTGGGTTCTATTTTAATTAGAAAGTGTGTAATGGATTGAGCATAAGGGAAGGGCACATTAGAAATTGTCACCGCAGGTAGCTTGAGTAACAAGAAGAGGAGAATTCGCCCATAAATCGAGGAGTTTAGGGAAAAACAATATTATAATGTATATTGATATAAGTTTTATATTGTTAGCTTTTTCTTAGTGAATGTGTCTGGCCACTTAAGCTGGTATTGTGTGCTCTATTTAGCAATTTAATTACATCAAATCTCTTCTTCTTTATTTCTATTATTTCTGTTTATGATTCCAATAACAAAGTGAACGGAAAGTCTTAAGGTTTTATAGTCATGTCATCACTCATCATTATTGTCATTATTCATTATAGTATTTAAATATCTTTTGCAATTTAAGGCTTAAAAAATCAGAGTCTTGTGTGCACTCCACTGTATCTATGTCATAAAGTATTTATTTAGGAGATGGTAGATTTTCTTTTGGCATAGTTGGGACCTTGGGTCAGAGACTTAATTTGTTGCTTCAGAAAATGTGTCATAAGCATGAGTTAACGTGGTATGTATCTGGCTCATATGAATATGATAAGAGATTTTTTTATTCCCTGGAAGGATGTCTGCATGATCCTCTTTGGAATTAGTCCTCTTTGGCTAGATACTCCATATGCACAAATATCTATTGGTGGAACATTTCAATGACGAGTTGGGTTCCAACCCCTCTAATTTCTTTTCCCAGTATACAATGTATTATATTTAGTTGAATAAAAAAACATGAGAAGAAAGTTAGCAATTTGGTTTAGTGCTTTTTTCAGGCTGAAAAAGTTGGCATAATGATAAAACTAACTTGAGTATAATTAATAGTCAAAGTGTTAAAATGTTGGCCTCTCTATGCTATATTTATGTCATTTCTTCTATGCATGATTGGGTTTTTTTTGGAGCAGAAGAATACATATTTATTATTCTATTTATTTATTTTGCTTTCTTTTGAGTTGGAAACAATAAAACATGTCGCCCTTATGGTTTTACTTATGAATAAACTTTCATGATATTTTTTATGCAGAGACTTAAGTTTACATTTTCAAGACCATTGTTATGAGAGGGACTAAGGATTCTAGGTAAAAGATTTTACATTAACAAGCCCAGTATCTAATGTAGGTTGGAGCTATTCCATTTTCAAGACCTTTGTTTGGAGCTATTCTATTAGGATAGAATTTCACATTGATGAAGCTAGTATCTGATGCCCAAGATTTTGCTAAAATCCATTTTTATTGGCATACATGAGTCTTAGTAGAAGACAATATATTACACCAAGTGTGGGTAGATGACAATATCTTAACCATGAGCTGGTGAATGGTGCTGGTAGAAAAAAGAGGAAGGGTTTTGTTCTCAAATATGACTTTAGCAAAGCATATGATATGGTGGTTGATGTTATTAGTGAAATGATGAGTAAGATGAGTGCTGGCATTTTTTCAGAGACACTTGGGTTTGTGTCTAGATTTAGTCTAAAGCATCAGAATAGTGCAGATCATAGGATTGTAGGATATGAGATATCTGTTTGGGGTTGGTAGCTGTTTTATGCATTCATACTACCTTTCTAATCAACTTTAGTGTTTGAAATCCTTATTAAGACATTTGCTAAGAAAGTTCAAAGGGGTATGGCAGGGAGTATTTTAAATAATTTCAGTATTCTCGTGTTCAACTCTTTGTAAAATGTCCTCAAGTTTCTCACCATTCTACTTCTCCTAAATTTAGCTTTTCTTACATGCCGTGATTTAGATGTCCTCATGCCACTTCTTTGGCTAGATTGGCATCCTATCTAAGAGTTGTACTGGAAGTGGTGATGATTGATTAGGAAAATGCCAAAGTAGTGGTATATACGTAAATCTGTTTCATCACCATTTTCTTTTGGTAGGACATATTTCTCAAAAACTTATAATCAACTTTTTCTCTCTTAGTTATCCTCTTTTATACTTCTATCATTATATAGGATAATTTATTTCTGAGGAAGTTTGTTGCCTTTTTGGATGTGAAAAATTGGCATCATAAATAAATTATTTCTGTATGTAAATTTTATTGACCTATTTTGGCTATGTCTCTCTCATTGGGGAAGCAGTTTGATATATGTGACTAACTTATATAAATTTTAACTCTTCTTAAAATTACTTTAGGCTCAATTGTTCTTGTGATGAGCCAAATTGGGATCTGCAAGGGTTTGGGGGTGGGGTGGGGTGGGTGGAGCAGACATATAGATCATTGGTGAGGATGCACTGATGTGTGGTGGGAGGGGGGAGGCTTTGTAGTTCTAAGGAGGAGGGTTGCTGGAGCATACAAATTCATCATAGATAAATTGTTTCTGTAATCTACTTTTTGTGACCTATGCTGGTTATGTGTCTTTTCAGTGGGAAAAAAGCTGGATGTATGTGAATAACAATAACTTATAAAGGATTTAAATCTTCTAGGAAAATAGCAAAGTTGTCTCTTTCCTTTTAGGCTGAAGTGATCTTCTCAGGGGCCAAATTGGGATTTGCAATGGTTTTGGGCTCCATAGTTTTCACAACACTTGACTTCACGAGCTACTGATTTGTATATTAATGGTATTTAGGGTATATTAATATTTAGCTTATAGTTATCAAATAAATGTGTGCCAGAGCTATAAGGGACATAGGATTTTATTTAAGTAGTATAGATTTTAGAGAAGTTGCATGCTAGTTCTTATTCCTCAAGAATAGGGCTTTCATGTGACTAAAAAGATCGTGTTTTATTGCAATTAGGAAACCTAGTACTCTAGTACGATTAATATACCTATATAAAGGGCCGTAGGATGTTAAAATGTGTGTGTGTGAGATTGTGATTAATAAAGTATAAAGCTTTGTGATAAAACTTATGAGAGTAGGTGAGATGCTTATTCGCTTACAATTTGTTTGGATAAAGAAAGGGGAAGGAAAAGAAGGGGAGGGAGGAGAACAGGAGGGGAGGGAAAGGAAGGGGAGGGAAGAATGGTGAGTTTTCCTTCCAAATCTCTCCATATTGTTGGAGGGATCAATTTCCTACAATTTAATCATTCCATTTCTCTCCCTTCCAATTCCCTCCCTTCCTCATTTGCTATCCAAATGAATGATACTCCATTTCTCTTCCCTTCCTTTCCCTCCATTTCCTTCAATTCAAACACACTGTTAGCAATTCTAGTTTGGTTTATAGTTTGAACGTGTGTTCAAATCCATTTGTTTAGGTCAATTTGATTCTAAATTAGTGCCCTAGATTTTGTGAAGTCCATTTGACGTAGAATCATATCAGCTATGTTGGATTCTGTTCTGCAACCTCCATTGTTGTCTTGGTTCAGCATTGTGGTACTCAATGAGTCAGCCTTCACAAAATGTTTTCCTACTACAGATTTCTGTAGACATTTAATGGGATTGGAAGGCTCTATGAGTCTGAAATACTTTTCAGTTTCTCTGAATTTTATACTTGCTTTTCAGGACTCTTATCGTTCTCATTCATTTTTTATATTGATGGCTGTATCATTCAAAAGGGGATTTAGTAGATTTTTTCCCTTCTAAAATCTTGCTTTATTATCCAAAAGCTACTATTTGCCAATTCAATGTAATTCACCCCTTTCAGGGTCAGAACTTTTAAATTGTATACTAATACCTTTGTTTTTTTTAGTTTGCTCGTATGTTCATTTTGACACAATTAACACACACCCCTTTGACTTTTTTAAAAAATAGCTATTTACGTAAATGCAAGGAAAACTAGTCATGTCTGGGGTTCATCTTGATAAATTCTTTTAAAGTATTAATTTTACTTATAGATAATTATAGATTATTAATATTTAAAGATGTGCGTTGACAAACGTGATAGTCACACCGATTGAACAAAAAGAAAATAAAAAATTATTAATAGTTTACTTTTTATTTCTTTCTATCTTTGGGATCCTCATAATGTTTTGTAAATTCTTTTGTATATATATTGTTGTGTGATGTGACAAATGGGAGAAAGGGGGGTTGAAGAAGGGAGATTATTTGTTGAAGTGTTATATTCTGTTAGTTACATTAATCATTTACTTTCATTTGCATAACTGTTTTTGTATAAATTTCAGCAACACTTTTGTCATCAATATCAAAATATTAAGGGTCTAATTACCCACTATTTTGGATTTCCTTTAAAGCAGAATATAATGGTTTGATTGTCCATATAATATTACAACATTAGTTTGTGTTTTATATCCACTTTAGTGTTTTTATTATTATTATTATTATTATTGTTATTGTTATTGTTATTGTTATTGTTATTGTTATTGTTATTGTTATTGTTATTGTTATTGTTATTGTTATTGTTATTATTATTATTATTATTATTGTCTATCTGACTGCGGGTTGTAAATATCTTAAACTGTCATTTGTTTGGGTGACTTGTTCAATTTGGAGCTTTGTTGTATTTGGCTAGTGATGTCATTAAACTTGATTTGCTTGTGGAACTTATTATTTATTTTCCAATTTTAAATCCTTTCAAATCTTCCTCCATAATTCTAGCTTAGAATTCATTGTAAGCTTTCTTTTTTTCCACATATTTTATTTGCAAATGGCACGTGAAGTGGCAAGACATTAGACTGACTCGTTCATTTTATGGAAGTTCTGCAAGAGATAAGTCAGAGTTGCCTCCTTAAGTTTCCTTCTAATCATTGCTCTATCATGCATATCTGATGCAGAGCGCAAGAACAGAAAGTTATTGGACGTTCAAGATTAATGGAAACAGTTTCTTAATCTAGGAAATTTAGAATATCAGTAGTCCTTAATTTCTTTTTTAAAATCAGGTTCCAAGTAGCTTACTACTTTATATATTTTAGTTAGGGATTATCGATTTAACTTGAAGATTCTCTATTTTATGGACCTTATAATCCGTAATACAACTACGTCATGAACAATGACATTGTTGAATTGGAAACTTTTAGGTAACACAAGGCTAATAGTATTTGTATGCATATTAATTCATCTCTTTTAAGATGCCTTTAACAGATATAGGTTTTTTTTTTTTTTTTTTTTTTTTTTTTTTTTTTTTTTTTTTTTTTGGTGACAAAACTAGTGGTAGCTTTTAGCTGGTGAGCAGCACAGTAGCATGTGTCAACTAGTAGCGGGTAAAGGTTAGCTATTAGAGTAGCTATTGAGTATTAGTGTTTGGTAAAAGTAGTTGTTTGAATATTAAAATTTCAAAAAAACATATACTATAGCTGTTAAAAAGTAACTATACATTTTCAAATTCTAATTGCTACCTTTGGAATGCTAATATAATTTACATTTGAAAAACGCTACCTTCACCATTAACCACTACTCAAACTGCTACCCTATTCTTATTGTTTCTAAGTAGTGTTTAGACCTAGTCAAAGCGCCATCTGCTACCTGAAATGCTACCGCCAAATAGGACCTGAATAGAATGCTTTCTTGCTTTTGGGTGGTTTATTTTTTTTGTCTCTTTCCTGCAATTGCTGGTTATCATCTTTAACAGATATGATTAGAAGTCTGCATTCTCAATTGATTAAACGTCCTGGACATTATCCTTTACTCCATGGACCCTGGACACATGTTTTTCATTGCCCTTGAATCCTGGACTTCTTGCAGTGTCCAGAAATACAGAATTGCTGGATGTGATGACTCTAGGCCCTCTCCGTGCCTTTTCCATAGGTTAGGTTTTTTAATCAGTGGCTGCATTGATGCTGCAGGATAGATGACTTAAACTGTAAAGCATGCCCACATGTTCTATATCTGTAAATGTTTCATCAATATGTGGTCTCCTTCCACCAGTTGGTGGGGACCTGCTGCAGTCAGTTTTGACTCTTTGCCTTTCATATTACAATTGCAGTAATCAAGGACTATTATTTGGGAAAGATTCCAGCATCAATGAAGAACAGATAAAAGAGGGAAGATTGGGGGGGGGGGGGGGGGAATATTAGGATGATTTGTGGCAGTGAGACACATTCATAGGTGTGTGTGTGAGGCTTAACCTTGTGAACATCAGTGCTGAAAGCTAAAGGGCTTGACCCTGTGAAGCATGATCACATAATGTTCATAAATGAAATCCATTGGCATTGTTTCAATCACATAGTTGGTGGGAATCTTCTGCTTTCCTTTTAGATTAATCATCCTCCATAATAATATAACAGTAATCAAAGAACTTTGGGTCTTTCTTTATGGGAAGATAGCTAAAACAATGAGTCATCACCTATTTAATGGTTTGTCAAAGGTGGATGTTATTAATCTTATTATTATGATTCTGGTTAGAAAAGGATCTTAATAACTACTTTGGATTTTCTCTCCTCTTCTTAATATTAGGATGACTTGTGGCAGTGAGACACATTCATAGGTGTGTGTGTGAGGCTTAACCTTGTGAACATCAGTGCTGAAAGCTAAAGGGCTTGACCCTGTGAAGCATGATCACTTAATGTTCATAAATGAAATCCATTGGCATTGTTTCAATCACATAGTTGGTGGGAATCTTCTGCTTTCCTTTTAGATTAATCATCCTCCATAATAATATAACAGTAATCAAAGAACTTTGGGTCTTTCTTTATGGGAAGATAGCTAAAACAATGAGTCATCACCTATTTAATGGTTTGTCAAAGGTGGATGTTATTAATCTTATTATTATGATTCTGGTTAGAAAAGGATCTTAATAACTACTTTGGATTTTCTCTCCTCTTCTTAATATTAGGATGATTTGTGGCAGTGAGACACATTCATAGGTGTGTGTGTGAGGCTTAACCTTGTGAACATCAGTGCTGAAAGCTAAAGGGCTTGACCCTGTGAAGCATGATCACATAATGTTCATAAATGAAATCCATTGGCATTGTTTCAATCACATAGTTGGTGGGAATCTTCTGCTTTCCTTTTAGATTAATCATCCTCCATAATAATATAACAGTAATCAAAGAACTTTGGGTCTTTCTTTATGGGAAGATAGCTAAAACAATGAGTCATCACCTATTTAATGGTTTGTCAAAGGTGGATGTTATTAATCTTATTATTATGATTCTGGTTAGAAAAGGATCTTAATAACTACTTTGGATTTTCTCTCCTCTTCTCTCTTTGATAAAGACTGTTAGATGTAGGCACTAGACCCTTAAAATATGCTTGTCTAGGATCTCTATCTCTCTCCTCTTTGTGTCTCACTCACTCAAGTCATTTTTTTTTAATTCTAACTCAGAGAAGTTGGGCTTTGTTTTCCAGCTGGTATCTTTGCTATTTCTGAAGTACTTAAAAATCCATTCCACCTTTTTTTTTTCCGCTCGTTCTATCACCTACTCAAGGCAATGACATCAATTTAACTTATGATTCAGTCTCTCTGGAGTCATGAACTGCCTAATTCCATCTGAAATCCCCATTCATGAGTTGGTTGGATTTTTTTGGCTTTAGTGTTGTTGACATCATAATACAGTCTTCTCTCTTTGCTTAGGAAGGAACTTTCTTTGTTCTATTGTTATGCTTCTGGTGCATATATTGTAGGTAATAATGCGCTAGAAAGATAGAAGTCTTCTTCTGAAAGAAGGCTGAGGTCCCTTTCAGCTTGATTGGTTATGTGAAATAATTTGCATGTAAAGGAAGGGAATGGAAGAGAAGGGAAGAGATTTGAAGGGAACAGGATTGGCATTTCTTCCCTTAAAAGAAGGCTTAGGTCCCTTTCAGCTTGATTGGTTATGTGAAATAGTTTGCATGTAAAGGAAGGCAATGGAAGAGAAGGGAAGAGATTTGAAGGGAACAGGATTAGCATTTCTTCCCTTTGGTTGAGTTATTAAGAATTGAGAGGAATAGGTTATTTGTTTTGCTTGTTATGTATGAATTAAAGACCTTCATGAAGGAACTTTCCTAGCAATATTTTGGCCCACTTCCCATGTGCATACATTTGCATTAACCTGGAGAATATATCCCATGTGAATAAATTATCATCATCCATAAATTAATATCACCAATTCCTTTCAATGGAAGAAGCTATCAATCTATTTATTCCGAAATGAATGTCTAATTCAGTAGGCTCTATTACTCACATGCTTTAATGTTGCTACTTTTAACATGTATAAGGGGACAAGAAATGATGTATTTGATTTTGTTCCCAGCTTCCCACTGAGTGTGATGACAATAATATATGGAGTCTATAATGTTCATTGGTTTAGGGTATCTGAAGCGACTCTCTCCTTATGGTTTGGGAGCAAACCTTTGACATTTAATTTTGTGAATATAAATTGTCACATAAGCTGATTCAAACAGCGAATGAACATAGTTTTACTTTGTAATAATCTAGAAAACAGTTCTGCTAGAAAGAAGCCCCTAAGTCAATCATCTTGGCTGAAGGTGATTAAATCAGGTCCATCAGGGTCAGTCTTTCTTGCTTTGAGCTCTTAATGGCTGCTCACATAGATCCTCAGATGATGACCTTTCTTCTGGAAAGTACGAAAAAGTGCTTTTGTTTGCCATAAGCTGCTTGCACCAGATCTCCTGCTACTAATATATTATGCTACTTATCCTATCCGAGGGTTTGCAGCTAATGTTGGACTTAATGACGGGCTGGATTTGCATTTGAGACTGGAAAGAGAGAAACAAAAGTAAAGATTATGTTATTAAGACAAGGATCAAGGATCAGGGTGTGCTTGTTTTTCTGTTATTTTTTTTTTCATGCAGCATCTAGGATGCTTGTTAGTTAGCTCTGCAATCAGTCCATTTGGCTACTAATTTATGCACTGATGTAATTCAAACATGGTGTTTGGTTATTCTCTTGGCACTTGTAGCTTATCAACCTAATATCACATGGTTTATGATTCCTGAAATATACATAATTTAGCCAGTAATGAGATATTGTTCCAAGGTTACATTTAGGAAGCTATTAATTCTCTTCTGAGATAATCATTACTTATTGGCATCTCTGACGTTCTATCTGGTTATTCTATCACTTGTAGATAATGAAGGTTCAGCAAAAAATTCAAGCTCTTCAAGCTGGGAAGGCCAAGGCATAATTACTCAGCAGGTTGAAGTCTTTATTCAAAGTAACCTATTTCCTATTTACCTGTTTTTTTTTAAAAAAAAAAAAATAATAAAAATGTCTTTTTATTGTTGAGTGTTTACGTATTGGATTGTTGCTATTCCAAGTTTTGGTATTTTTGCGAGGTCTATAGAAAGCCTGTGTGAACAGTATGTTCATCTTTTTAATAGGAGTCAGTGACTGTATACTAGGCTACTGGCGTTAAACTAACTTCTTAGAGGCTTACAAGTAAGAAACCATTTTTTCACTGTGAGAAAGTGCTGCATCCACAGCCAAAGGATGCAAAAACATAATCATCCCATTTGGTATTGCGTGTAAAACTTATTGTCTATTTTGAAATGAGCATTTCTTTTGAAATGCTGGATTTAGCACGTCATTTGTTTGTAAATCCTAAGAATCTGGTATTGGATTTGAGCTAAATCCAAAGAATCTGGTTTAACAAGGCCAGGATTTGAGCTAAATCCAAAGAAACTGGTTTAACAAGGCCAAAAAAAAAAAAAAAAAAAAAAAAAAAAAAAAAAAAAAATTGAAATCCAGTAATCCATTTTTACTTGTATCATTTAGAATTCTGATATTCACTTGTATTTTATTGTCTTACATATCTTCTATCATCCCTTCTAGTATATTGTCATTCACCAGTCACCTCTAGCTCGCTCTATCTACTATCATATATAATTATATATCCATCATCAACGGCCATTGTTAAACCTTTCCTTCTTCTCTGTCTACAACATTACAGCAACATATTATCTACAGAGTAATCATTCTAGTCATCTTCAACGACTAACACTTCCTACTTTGACCTAGAATCAATTCATATAGGTTATTAACTAAATTTACTGAATGCTGAACTACAGATCTAATCAACTCCCTCAGGTTTCATTCTTTGATTATAAATTTATTAATATTATAATTCTATATACTCTTTATAATTGGTAATTTTACATTTCACTCATTTTCCAAACATGGTGATTGTATCTGAATTTCTGGTACTCAAAATCCTACACTTTCACAAAGATCATGATTGAAATTAAATGTTAGAATATCAATTTTCAGGAATTGAAATCAAATCTGGATTTCGAAACCTTACATCAAGCCAATTGGTTTCCATCCTCACGAAGCACCACGTGGCAGATGTTCTGCCTACATCGAATGTAACTCGTAAAATGATTGGCAGTTTGAATACTTGAATGTTTGGTGCCTTTGTTTTCCATTCATGATAATCTATGCAGCCAGTGTGAATCAAAATTGGTCATCCTGTTATTGTATGTAAAGCATATTCTTCATGGGGTTACATCATCTGTCAGCTCATTTGACATCCATTTACATGCTCCTTCCTTATCTTCCCTTATCCCAAAACACATCAAGAATGTTGTTATAAAAGGCTGGCACACGATTTGGCCGTGCAGTACAATTATCATGGACAAGCACTTGCTCAGTTGTTCCACTTCCAGACTAGGTAGCATTCGAATGGCTATTGTGAAATGTGAAAATCTGATAAGTTGTTTTGAGTTAAGAGAGAAGCAATGATACTCCCTTTGTTCCTAAATACTTGCAATACTTGAATTTAGTGAGTAACATTGTGTACAAGGAAAGAATAAACAAACGTGCAACTAGGTTATTGGAAATTGTTTATGAAAAAGAAAATTTAAAAATTGCAAGGGTTTGCGGGAGTGATGTGATTAACAAATTAATGCATTGTTGCAAGTCATGTGATTAACAGTTTGTTTGGATAAAGAAAGGGGAAGGAAAAGAAGGGGAGGGAGGAGAAGAAGAGGGGAGGGAAAGGAAGGGGAGGGAAGAATGGTAAACGTACATACTTCGTGTTAATTGTGACTTGAAATCTAGTGCAATGACAAAGGGTTGACTACAAACACATAAATCTCTCAATCTAGAAATGATCTTGAGGTGATTTAAATTGGAGGTGATAACTTGTTTTAAGAGTTTTTTAACGATAGATCATATGCCAATTCTAATAAGAAACGAGAATATTATGGTCGTTTTATGAAAGACTATCAAAGCTGGGATAGGGACACAGACGTGCCCCTACATAGCACGCCCATGCCTAGTCGAATGAGACGTTTTTGCTTCCTATTTTTTGGGTTTATTTATGATGGCTACCAATGATATTTCTTGGGGAATAATTTAGGGTTTCATTTGGGTTTTAATATATTATATAAAGAGTCGTTGGGTGGACAGTTAGAAGTGCTAAATATTGATTGATTAGCCTAGTCAATTCAAGCCGTTGTTTAACTCCACTTTTGAGAGATTTTGTGAGATTGAGAGTGTTGTATCTCCTTTTGTTATCTTTCTTGTTTATCCTCCATGAAATCTAAGAACAAAATAATATCCCTTACCTTGTGAATGTAGGTCATTTTAATCGAACCACGTTTATCTGTGTGTTCATTTTATTTATTTATTTATTTTTGACAAGTTATTTATTTTATACTTTATTTCTCAAATTTATGTTTTATACATTGTTGTCTATGTTATGCACATATTAAACCCATAACCTAAATCAATCAATCCTTGTCTATTTTCTAACACTTTGAGTTTACGTCCAATGGGCAGCGGTATTAGATGCTCTTTTAACGTGAGAAAATAAGCAAATATCAAACCACTTTCTATCGACTCTAATATCATCATAGATTCATAGATGACATAAATTGGGGAGAAGCCACACACGTTCGAGGAGATATTCTTAATCTGGAAAACAGTATTACCTACATTTGTAAGTTAAACTGTGATTTTGATGTACACTTATTTTTATTTGTAACCGCTTACATCTTACTTTGCGACATATCGGACCACTTCTTTGGGCTTTAGCTACGTCCTATTGATGGGTCTATTTCACTAACGCCTTTAATTTCCAAAGCTTTTTGAAATGACTAACAAATTAAATGGGAGTAGCATGTTAACAACTAGGTATGGCAACGGGTCGGATCTGGAACGGATTCGGATGGACCTGGATCCAGATCCCTTTTTGTATATAGGATCCAGATCCGACCCGGATCTGTCGAGTCTAGAAAATGAAGACCCGGATTCGGATCCGTCGGGTACAACGGATTCGGGTCCAAAACGGGTCCAATATATTTTGCCTAATTTTTTGCAATACATGTAATGTTCGGGTCAAAAAATTTATTTCAATCTTACGTTGTTGGTTATTAAGTTCAACCCCAAATTAACCAACTTATACACTCATATTTTGAATTAAAATTATAAGCAACAAAAAAAATACTATGTTACATATGAACTAGTAAAAAAACAACGATGATGTATATAATGTGAGCATCCAAAATTCATCTATTGAAAGGGTTAATCTTTATCATTACTAACATTATCAACATTTTTAATAAAGAAACAAACAATTTAGTTTTTTTAAATAGGAAAAATAAAAAAAACGGGTCCACGGATCTGGATCCGGGTCTAGGGCCCAGACCCAGATCCAGAGCCGTTTTTGTCAGCAAGACCCGGATCTGACCCGGATCCGTTGGGTCCAAAATTTGAAGACCCAGATCCGTGAAAAAAGGATCTGAATCCACGGATCCGGGTCGGGTACAGATCCATTGCCATCCCTACTAACAACCATAAAAGTAACAAATATCACAAAATTTAATTTTGTCCTAAATATGATTTGTGTTTTGGTATATGTTAGCCGGTCATACAGTGTGACTAGTCACACAAAAACGCACTGATAGATAAAACAGATGACACAATATAAAGTATACTGAAATAATTAGACTATAAATTAGAAGTGTATAATACAGAGGAACTAGTTTACTTAAATAATGTAGATGCAAAGGACTGTCCAAGTTAATCTTTTTTGTAAAATATTTGCCTAAGTATTAATTTGTGTTTTATTGTTTTAATATTCAAGGGTGTTACATTCCTCCTCCATTAACGCACCTCATCAAACTCCTCTAATGAAAGCGAACATTTCCATCATCATTTTAGCGATGAAGCTGCCAAATTTAAAGAAAACCCTATAAATAATGGAGAAATAAATGACATGGTTAACCCCGAGAGGAATGTCATGCCACCCTCGTATATTGAAGGTGCTTTTGAGCTTTCATGCTTTCATTGAATCTCTTCAAATTATAGTGATGAAGAAGAGAGAATGGAAGACTTCAACGATTGGCATCGAACAATGACGAAAGTTTTAAAATGATAACCTACAAATTACAGTTTTATCTCCAACTTATACCATGAAAAGACGAATATAACTCTTTGATAAGTTGATTTACTTGTATATCCTCCAGAGGACATGAAGAAAGGAAACACCAAATACAATTAAAAAAAGTACTATTGGCATGATAAATTTATGCGAAGTCCGACAGAATTTAAAGAAAGTAATCAAATTTCTCAACCCATCATATTTAGTGGTAGTAGCGTAGAATAAAATAGGGACCATTAGATCCTGCTTGGCAGTGAGCATGACTGCCATAAAGTCTACACTCTTTTCATCAAATCAAATAGATTGAGAGTTGAGCATTTGTGATGACTAAGCACAACCACATGAATCTTAGTTTATATTCCTTCTTTCGAGTTAATCGTAATAATATTAAGCTTGACACATCTACATAATAGTTGTAGAGTCATTTTTGATAACATTTCACCCCATAATCCTCCAAAACACTAAAATTATAATATTTTCATGAGATCAATGCTTAAATTGTGATTTTTTATATGTGGCTGGCTATCTCATGTGGCCACATTGGCCAGCTATTATCATTCATGGGATTAATTTGTTAGGGTTACTAGAATAGTCTCGTGCAATGCACGTTTTTACAAATAATTTTTTTTAAAAATTGTTTAGTTTTCATACCAAAATTAAAACCAAAAAAAATCTTCAAAACAAACATCAAATATGGTTTCCGAAAAAAACATCAAATACTTTTTTTTTTTAATTTTTAATTTTAAAGTAGAGCTCATATAAAAAATGAGTGATAAAAGGGGTACATGAGAAAGAAAAATTAAAGTATTATTATTATAGAGAATAGACCGCTTTTCGGAAATTGAAACTAATAATAATATAGATTACCAAAATTTAATGAAATAAAATTAAATTCAGAAAATGATGACATCATAAATACTTTTGGAGGGAAATTTGTTAATAACAACTTGACATGTGTCTACTTTATTTTAAGATAGGATGATGTCAGCGGTTGCTATTTTAGTATTAGTTATAGATTATAGATAGGGTTTACTTTGTTAGGATTATAGGGTTTACTTTGTTAATGTTACAAGAGTTACTTCATCAGCAGTGTACCAATGTTGTCTCAGACACTTTTGGAGCTCGGAGCAAAAACTTTAATAGGGGCCCAGTCCTAAACTACAAACTGTATTTTATACGTAATTCAGCAACAAAATATTTTACCTCTTATATTACACTACAAGAAAAAGGTTAAATACCGACGGAAATTTTCCCTTGCAAAAAAGCCAATTTCCGTTGCAAATAGCATTTCCGACGGAATTCCGTCGTAACGATCCGTCGCAAAACCTTTCGTAGGAAAAAAAAGAATTTCCGAGGGAAATTCCGTCGGAAATGCTATTTGCGACGGAAATACCGACAGAATAGCATCCGTCGCAAGAAAATCTGACTTTCAAGTGTTATCCGTCGCAGATTTACGACGGAAAATTCCGTCGTTGAATAATAACTTACGACGGAAAAATCCCTCGTAAAAGTTCAATATTTGCGACGGAATTGTATTTCGTCGGAAGTTTGCGACGGAAAATTCCCTTGCTAAAATATTATTTGCGACGGAAAAATCCCTTGCTGAAATATTATTTGCGACGGAAAAATCCCTTGCTAAAATATTAATTGCGACGGAAAATTCCCTTGCTAAAATATTAGTTGCGACGGGAAACTCCCTCGCTAAAATATTAATTGCGACGGAATTTAAATCCCTTGCAAACTTTCAACTTTTGCGAGGGAAGTTTCCGTCGATAAGGATTGTGTCAGCGACGGAATGTTCTTCATTTTTCCACCGCAAATCAATTCCGACAAACTAAATATTAATTATTTCCGTCGCATAATATAATTCACAAAGCCAAAATTCTAGTTGTCCAGCATTAATAACCTATGTTCCTGCACCTAATACCTGTGAAAATTAAATTCATAAACCAATTTCGGAAATATAAATATATATATTTCCACAAAAGCTGTTTTGAAGTTAAACATATCCAAAAGCTACATAATATATAGTAATTCTACAAAAGCGGGAAAATCATCAAACGCTACGTAAATTCTAATTAACTACTTGTTCGTACCACATTAACCTAAGCTAGGCTAAAAAACTGCAGGGGTACCCTGGCTTGCTCCTCCACTACCCGGGTCATCCCTAGGGTCTCGTCGCTGAGGCTGAATGGTGGAACAGGAGTTGTTGCCAAATCGTCTCATGAAGTCATTCCACCTCTCCTCGGCTCTCCTTTCCATTTGGGCTACTTCAGCTTGAATTTGAGCTTGCATCTCAACTTCCATTTCACTCCGAAGTTCACTTTGTATTTCACTCCGGAGTTCATTGCGAATCTCACTACGAAGAGCCTCCACCCTATGGTCCATTTGGTCCTGCATCTGACTAACAACAGACGGTGTGTACTGTTGTGAAGACCTAGAACCTCGACCCATCCGGTTGCCAAAGTACAGCTCTGCACT